AACTTCTATGAACGGCATATTGTTGCACACAGAGGGATAAAAAAAGAAAGAAAATACTGGTGCCGGTTTTACTGAGACCAACCTTGCATACACTCACTCAAAATTATAGTTTTTTAAGCCATAGATTAAAATCATGTGGTCCAGTCAGGCAGATATATCATATATTTAAAGTCAAATTGTCCTATGGATATATTACGGCTACTTTATTTGTGCAAACCCTTCAGTATCGGCAATAAGAAGGATCCATCTTAAGCTTAAATAACCATGTGCCTATGATATTGCAATTGTTTTCACAATATATTGACAAGCTTCAGGTAAAAACTACTGTGGGACACTACGGGGCATGTATTTCACATACCACTCACCCTGGCTCCTTATTGCCTCAGGAAGGCTGTACATTCAGGCATTAATTCCGATACACTTATATTGCGAGAACAACGCTTTGATGAATTAGGACGCGAAATCCTGGAGTCGATTCACATAATGAAACATCTTTTGCTTTTTACATCATATAATAACAACAAAGAAAATATTATATAAAATATTAATAAACTTGTATGCTATAGTCAGGAACATTCGAACAGACGAGTAAAATCTTTATAAGCTAGATTAATTCTGCCATGAAAATAACATATGATTTTAGTTTGTCAAAAATAAGAATTGAACGATCGACCAAATTCCTATGGTTCCGTAAAGCTGACACAATATCTTATACATGTCAAACACGATACGCCCACTCACCTGTCCCCAAAAAACAATTTGAATTTAAAAAGCCCCTTGCTTTTTAAAATAATTAAAAGTTTTTCTACTTACTTATCCAGGATGAAAAGAAATAATCGGAGGTCTCCGAATCTATCGAATGTTGTAATTGTATTTTCACATCTCCGAGACTAGATCTTCGTAATTGCATATTTTCGTACTTTTTGTGTGAATTATTTTTAATTATAAAATATGCCTTTCAAATACTCATAATTCTATTATCTTTCTCAAAACTGAAAAAAATTTTGGCTAATTTTACAACCTCCCATTTTATTACCACACCTCTATCCTCAACATAAATTTCACAACTACTGAATGAAAATTAACAAATTTATGGATGGTATCTCTTCGAAGAGATATACCAACCATCCATCACATTTAACATCTACCTTCTTCAAAACTATTTGAAAATTCACCGCGCCACATAAAAACGTTGTTATATATTTTTATTAATTGTTCATCAATTTTGTTTAGATTAAGTGATCGGGTTTTTATGTGTATTGTGTGCGTATGGTTATGTCGACTTTACTTCCGTTTATTTATTTTTCCAAAGCAATTCATTTCCATTACAAAAGATAAACAACAAAATGTTGAACTCTATGAATAAACATTTTTTTGGTTGTAAAAACACCTATGCCGCATTTTTTGAAGGTAATAGCCAATTTGTGGAGAGTTGTAACTTTTGGCTTTGGCTGGAAATCATCGTCTCTAATGGCTTTTGTTGATTTTGATTTTCACTTGTTGCTTGGTTTTACATTCCATCATCATCAATGGACGTCATCGTCATCATCATTGGTATATCGGCATCGGTATATTTGTAAACATTAGAATCTCTTTGTGTGGTTTTCCGTAAATTGTTATGATAATTTTTTTGTTTGTAAATGTTGTTTTACATTTTCTAATTTATTTGTTTTGTTGTTGTGGTTGATATGTCTTTTTATTTGTATTTGAAAACAAGCCACAAAAAAACTGATAAATTATATATGATTTTTTTTATTTCAAAGTTTTACGTTTTCAAGCAACAATGACGCCCATATTTTCTTTTTCAAATAGTTTTCTTTATTTTTCGATTAGATTGTATTCTGTATCTTGATTGTAGGGGTATGAGTTTCATCGATATTGCATTGTTTTATTGTATTTTGGGTATCAAGTTCGAATTTTTTCGATATGTTGCAGAGTGTAGTTTCGTATACGTATATTTCCTTTGATAAGAATTTTAAAAATAGGTTATCACAGAAAGGTTTTTATATGTACGATTACATGTATGTGAATAATTGCATATGAATGTTTGTTGGGTGGTAGGTTTTTTTTTATAGAAATAGCAACCACGTTTTATAACCTCCATCATAATGGTTAGCTAATAACCTTGAACATATATCTATATCACTGTGGTGGACATTTTTCTGCAAGATAGTTTTCTGAAAACCATATTACCAAATTACCGAAACACCACCTATTGGAAATATGTAAAATTCTGATTTAATTTAAAAAGAAATCCATAATAATAGTCGATTTGGTTGAAAATATAAGAACTTGGATTGGTTTACGTGTTACTCTTTTCCTAGCTTTAATTAGTAAGCTTAAATACTGTTTCAAATACCCTTTGAGAATCAAAATGACAAATTGTAGGCATTTACGTGATTGAACATTTACTCTGTCGATGAACAATGCTTCGAAAGAATGTTTTGGATACATGCGATAGGCACTCTTACCTTTTTCTCAGAGATAAATTCCAAAATCCTTTTCCGCCTTTTTCTTCCATATTTTTTTCTTACTAATTTTTCTCATTCTAGATGGTTGTCATGCAGCCGCACATCTTCAGACGTAACCTATCCTCTGACAACCATATTTGCCACATTGGAAAACAAATTGTAAAACCTTCAAAACAGTCTAAAATCCAGTCAATTTGATGGCAAGCGTAGGCAATTAGTTCTACTCCCATCCAAAAACCAAGTTTTTAATGAAATTCGATTTTTATTGGATTTTATTAAAGTTGCCTAAATTTGTTATATGTCCTTAAATATACCAGTCAATTTAACATCCCACCAACCTTAAATTTTGATGCCTAGTGTAAAATTGTCTAACGCTAATCGGATATAATCATCATTTAAACGTATACCCACCCAGCTTCTCAAGTGTTGCTTTTATGTTCCAATTCAATATTATTTATTTTATCGATAATAAAAAAATATTTTATTTGAAAATGTCACCAATTCTAATATTTATATTTTCTCTATTTACTTACAGAAATCTAAAAGAATTATCAAACAACAAGAAGTTGGAATAGATTCTTGGAAAATTCAGTTAAACAAATACTGAATACAAACGAGCGATACACACAACAACAACAAAGCCAGAGAAGGAAACTACTTCCAAAAAAAGAAAACAAAAAACACGGGCAAAATGGATCATTAAACAACAACAACATCATCAAATAAAAGGAAATGCTTAACTAACAACATACACACGATTCTTAACAACAACACCAACAACAACAAGAAATTTGCAACATAACACAAAAGTCGTCTACTAGCAACAACACAACAACATCGCCGCAACAATTTGTTTTGTTATTTTTACATCATCAGCAACAAAGGATACAACCACCCAGCAACGTTAATTCACAATAGATGCAATAATTTGATTTGATTTGCCGTAGAACGCAGAGAAATACAACAAATAATTAAAAAAAAGTTGTTAGAAATCACTCAATCAACCGAGAACAACACATCCAGCAAGGCAATGTACATCAAAACACAACAATCAGCAACAAAAACATAACGTTAAATGTTGTTGTTTCTTTAAGAAATTTTGTTTTTTAGTTTCATTTAGAATTGTTTTGTTTTTATTTTTTCATTATTTGTTGGATATAAATATTTTTTGTTGTACTACCTCCTGCTCCTCTAAACTATACCTGGGAATAATAGAAATATCCTTGATTATTATTTCTCCAAATGCAATTCAATTAAACGAAAAAGAAAAACTACAAAACAACGTCAGCCATTAGCTGTTGTATTGATCAGCCCCAGCGTTTAAGAAAATCGATCTACCCAAGAGAAATATCAAAAGCCAATCAAGAAGAAAGCCTAATTGTTGCTTTTATATGTCTTCGGAACAATGCTGTCGCATAAATTGAAAAATGATTTGTTAAACGACATGGACACGACATATTGGGGACCGTCATCGTTCAGCTTTGCTGCTGTTGCTGCTATTGTATTGGCCAATCCGACTGCTGGTGTTGCTGATTTACATTTGGCAAACGCTCACTTGCTACAAACAAGTGTTGCCATTGCTCCACAGGGTGTTGCTGCAGATATTGCTAACAACAAGAACAGCATCCACCAAGATCAACAACAATATTAAAAAAAAAGAACAAACATCATTCAACGATAAACAAAACAAATGAAATAAAAAAATATTTAGAAAAAGAATATTAAAAAAACAACCCACAACAACAACAAAAAGAAAAAATAAAACATCAACAACAATTATAATAATAATAATAATAACAACAACTACAAGAAGAAGACCATCAATTAAACGATTATATCTTAAAAAGAGGAAATAAATAAGAAGAAAAAAGGAAAACAAAGAAATATAAAATAAACTGCAACAACATCCTTTTTGAAAGCAGATTAAACGCAATCCTGTAAAACTGTATATAACTGTAAACGTTTTTCCCCGTTTTCGTTTGTTTTATTTGAAAGCCAAACTACTTGTAAACTTATAAAACAAAAGATTCATATATATATATAGTTTAAATTTCAAGAAACTCTATATATTTGGATTGTGGAGGATCATCATCGAACAAATAGAAGAAACAACAACAAGAAGAAGGAGAAATTAGTCACCTCAACAAAAGCAACATAATAATAGTAATAAAAAACAACTAGTGCAATTTAATAAATAAACATCCCCTCACCAACCACCATTTATAAGAAAGTAGTAGAAGAAGAACACACATCACCCTACAACAAACAATAAAAAACACACACCACCCCCTCTTAATCTATACTTTTCACTGGCCAAAGAATTACAATTTTGTGGATAAATATCAACCATATTAATAAATATATATGAGAACTTGCAACGAAAAGAACAAAACGTAACAGCAATATCGAAGGAATTTGTTGCACACCCACAGTAAATTGTTATATTCTGTGGTATTAGTTCAAAGTAGAAGATCAATCGTCAGCATCATTTTGTCATCAGACATCAGACAGTATAACTACCAGCTCTAAAATTCTAGTTAAACTAAAACGGTAAGTTTTTGTTGGCCAAAAAAAAAATTGTTTTTGTTATCCGCTGCAATCCTTAAATAACATCCTTATTTGTTTATCCATTTGTAGCTAATCCTTTATATCCACTATTAACATTAAAACACTTAAGGTCCCCTTTGCCATTTGTTGTTTTTCAAAATTATTAATTTTGTTTTCACGGTATTCGTTTAGTGTAACACACCGTGTAAATATCTATATCCAATAAAATACAATTGGAATTTTGCTTTTTTAATTGTTTGCATAACCTCAATATTATTAAAGCAAAATTTATTTTCAAAATTGTAACATTTTTTAATATAAAATTTTAAGATTAATATATTTTATGGATTCATTTGAGATCTTTGGCAATTGTAAAGAGTTGATAGGTTTTTAATATTTTTGTTAGTTTGTTTGAATAAATTGCAAAAAGGACCTAAATGTTAATAATATTCAAAATTATTTGTTTCTTCTCATACATATTTTTGTTTTATTTCACTTTCCTGGCCAATTAGAATTGTTTTTCTCGTATTGAATCAACGTAACATATCATTAATCTCTTGTATTTTATAGCGATTTGAAACGGTAGATAGAAAAGGACACTTTGTAATGGGTTTGTGCAATTCACTGTCACTTTCAAGTTTTCTAAAATGAATCTATAAAGAAATGAATATTCACATTCCGACCCTAATGACTTTTGTTTGATTTCAATGTTTTTCATTCAACATTCTCCTTTGACATGTAACGTTGATTTAATACAGAATATTTTACGTTGTTTTTTTCCAAATTTTTTTCACTCCATACCCACCACCAAAAATGTTCCTACACCCTTCACACCTCCTATTGATTGACAACCATGATACATGTGCATTTGTCTTATTTACTATTTTTGATGATGTGTCTCTTTTTGCTCTTTTCGTTTACAAAATACATTATCACAACAAAAAACAAAATGTAACAAAAAATCGAAAAAAATCACACACACAGGTATGAAGTATCCTCAACTAGTGTCGCCTCGTGCCGTGAACGCCATCTCTGATTGGTTAGTATCACGTTTGGAGCAATTAGGCGTCGAATCACCACAGATCTATACAAGACTACTACTATCTCTCTTACAATCGTCAGTTCAAGTGAATGATCCAATTGAATTCAGCAACTTGGAAGTAATTTAAAATTCTAATGTTCCGATATTTTAGTATATGTATTGTTATTATTTTTGTTTACAAGCTAAATTTTGGTTTACAATTTTTCTTTTCAAAATTTGTTAACATAGCCCCTAGGCACTTAAACAGTTTCTAATAGAAATTTTACGATTTATTTTTACTTTCAAAATTAGGCATTTTTTGCTAATCGCAAAGGAGGTCACAGCAAACGTTTTCATTTGCCCTCCGATACTGAGACATTGAAGAAACTAAATGCCGTACAATGTTTAAGGGAAATTGTTTCAAATGAACAGGAGGTAAGTAACTGAAAAACTTCGTCATTATTCTTCTATTTAATTTAAATGTAATTCTCTTCTCCATTTTATAGACTGCTGCTATAGAAAGACTTGTTGATGAATTGTGTGAAAAACTAAAGGATATTGAAAAACGTAGCCAAGAATTGAATGATGAAGAACGTTTTCTAATCGATACCCAATTGAAAATTGATACATTGTCATCGTCTGGTCCAGCTAATACTGGCATAAATCATCAACAACATCACAACCAATCACTATCATCATCCTCGGCATCCTCTTCAACATCAACGTCATCATCTTCGGCATTTTCTGCACAACCACAAATTTCTTCGGCTTCTCAGAGAGATCAACAACAACAACAGCATCATTCACGTCGTAACGGGTCAAATGCTAACAATGAAAATGCTATAAACGATAGCGATAACGATCCCAAAAAGCGTTATTTTCGCGCTTTTCCTGCCTTGTCAAAGGAAATGGAAGACTCTTTTCGTATATGGCGTCGTAATGCAAAATCTTTAACTTGGCCAATAGTGGGACGTTCCTCGGTTTCGGTTACTGAAAATCAAAATCATACATCCGATAATTCTCACCAAACTTCTACAACAAGTGTATCGTCTCTTGCTGATAATAAAATTCTTGAAAAGAAGTCGAAATCATCAGGCTTTGGAGTTGAACAACATTTGGAAATTCATAATAAACTAAAGGCAGAATATACTGGAGATAGTGCCATTGGCCGTTCAGGATCTAGTTTGTGTGGTGACGTACAACAACAAGGAGCAGCAACAACAGCATTAGGAGCAGCGGCAAAGAAGAAATCTAAACGTCGCCGAAATCAAGGTAAATATCCACAACTAAAGAGAATGCTTTCTATCCATTTGTTTCATATCATTCTTGCCCTTCTTCCTTCTTTTAGCTTTGTGTAAAGGAAAACAAATTCCAAATCTACGCAAACCCACTACTACGTTGAGTGGCAACAACTCCAATCCAAATACTGGTAAATCAGCACATCATCGTAACACTTCACCAGCTTGGGATACAGATTTTAAAGGCTGCTGGGAAATGGGTCCCGATTTAATTAAAGAATTTTTGGCTCGCCAAAAGGGCTCCACCAAACGCAGTCGCAGCAACTCAGATAGCATGGATGCCGATGCACGCAATGAATACAAAATGCTTAGTGAAATACCAAAAAGTGATGAACTGCTTAGCGGCATAGAGCGTCCGTTAATGAAACGCTACGTTGACATTTCGTTTTGTTGTGACGATTCAGATGATCGTCAAAATTATGAAGTCGTGACCGACGATGGTGTTGATTATGTCGATGAGGATTATGATGATGATAATACCTTGGCCTCAATTGAAGAATTGTCAAGTGGCAGTGCGGCCAATGCCGTCATTAATGCCCGACGTTTGTATCAACGCGAGGGTACCTTGGCAAAGCCGTTCATAGTTTGCAGTGCCGGTGATGAGAGTTATTTGGACGACAGCTCTGAATCGGTGGATCATTTGGACTTTGCCAATTTCAAAGCAAAATTCAATAGCAGTGTTGAGGCTCTCTGGAAGGATGTTGAGCCCCAATCTACGGCATCTTCACAACAACAAGAAACCATTGAGAGTGCTGACAAGTCTGGCTCAATCGCCAATTCAATTGGAATTTCATCGGCCTTCTATGCCACAACATCCCTAAATGCTTTGGCTCCCTTCAAACAGGACTTGTGGAATTTCTGGTCTAACTACAACAACCAACAGCCTCAGGCGTCCTATGAACAAATGACGAAATTCTCGAACAATGTCAACTCGACATCATCCATGATAACAACAACACAACGTTTAGATGACAGTAGCGCTAGTTCTGGCGCTGGCGCCGATATTGCTAATTCAAGTGATTACTACTCTATGCCCAGTAATTTGGATGATTTCGATAAGTCGGTGGGTGCAATGCGTCGCATTAATGAAGCTGGTGCTTCCCTGGGTGTTGGCGGAGTTAGTGGTAGTGGTGGTTCACATACACCATCCATTAACCTATTTTTGCAGAATTCCATTTGGTCATCATCGGGAGATTGTGTTGATGCTGTGGGTGCTGTTAATGGTGAAACTGATGAGAGTTTCCTGTACAAGGTTTGGCATTCGAATAAGAAATTAAGTCAGATTGACATTGCCGCCAAGAATAAAGCGGAAAAGGTAAGAAAACCTGAAATTGAAATTGCTGACATATTTTAAAACCGTTGCTTTTATTTTCATTCGCTTTTCAGATCGTTGCCAATGCCATGGCTGATGGAGAAGGAGATATGGATAGTGGTTCTGTTATTTATAATAAAGGCAATGAGACCGCGGCAGCCTTACACATGGAAGGGGGAAATGGTGCTAAACTTGATTTTCCTCCCTACAACAGTTTGAAGTGGTCTGAGGGCATAAATGGCGGTCCTGCTTATAATAGCATGCGATCTAATGTCGTCACCTCTGGAGATCTAGAAACTTGTGGTGATGTTGGTAAATACGCAGCTGCTTATAACTCAGCAGGTGTGATTACATCAACTGGTGCCAATTGGGAAGCTCCTATTTATGGTCAAAATACTCAACCAGATCTAAAATCCTGGTGTGCCTCTAATCCCATGTCTTTGACCGAAATGTATGGCAGTGATGTTTGTGACAGCATTGCCCAAGATGTTGCTGAGTCCTCCCCTATGCCACCTGGTCCCGAAGTTACATTGCCCAATCATTGTGAGGCTACCAGTGGTTTTATTGCCTATGCTCGCATTAAGGCTAGCGGCAGTGTCATTCAACCCCAAACGAAGCCATTGCAATCCCAACAACCCATTGCTCACATGGCCAGTAGCGACTATTTTCGTGGTGGCGAAGAAGAAAATCTCTTGACTTCCGAACGTACTCATTTTCATCCCATCGAAACCTATGTTGATGGCTACACATTCGATATAAGCAGTGCTTTGGATTGTGTTGAATTTGAGCGCAGTGCCAGCGGCTATTTATGCCATGAGTCCAATGAATATTTGGAATATACAAGAAATGATATATATGTGGCTGATGAAGAGGTGTCCAATACCAATTTAATGAATTTTTCAGCCACTGCTTCGTCGCAAGTGGCCGATGGACGTATACACTCGGCCAAAGAAAAATCTGAAAATAAGGAAACGTTTGTGCTAAAGTTCAAGTTAAAACGTTCGGGAGAAATCGCCTGCCAAACAGAAGAAATTGATTTCCAATTGGCAGCAGCCAAAATGTCTAACCACCAGCAAATGACTGGCATTGATGCGATGGAAATGTCCATGTTCTCTCTGGACAATTCGTTGACTCTTAGCAGGCAAGCAAATAATGAAGCCATCATGGCAGCAGTAACTCAAGCTGTAGCCGCAGCTGCTAAAGCTGCCGCTGAACAGCAAGGCTTGCATACAACTGCACATCATAACTCTAGCCTAGCTGCTTGGGTACCAGCAGCCACACGTTCGGAATGTAGTCAATCATGGGTCCAAGATGCCTCGCTGTGTGATGAAGTTGATTTTTGTCGTGCAACTGCTGCTTCGGCTGAGCAACTTAGCCAATTTTGGTCTATGCAAGAAGTCGAAAAGCAATGCCATAAACGTCGCTTGCCCCCCAGGGCAACTTTTGCCAGAGCCGATTTGGATAGAAATGAGGATAGTTCGTTGGACAATTCTTCGCATACCCTGTGGGGTATGTGCGCCGTTTGTAATAGTTGTGATTATGGCAAGTCATTGCCAGCCAATCGCTTGCTACGCGATGAATTAAAATTGGAAGCTGATGAGATAATGAGCGACTTGCGCTACATGCAAGATTTGTATATTGGCGAAAGTGATTCGGTGGCCGAAAATGCTAATGATGTTGATAATGGTGGCCTCGAGGCTGGCAGACATGAAACATTCGGTAACGAAGGAAAGCAGGAATATAATGTGGTCGCAAATACTCAGGATCCCAATGAGAGTGCTGTACAGGCCATAATGCTGCTTAAAGTCAATCAATTAATAGAGGACTTGTTGAGGCCCGAACAAACGGGCAAATTAGTTAGATGTAAATTTGAGGAGGAAACAATGGCTCAAAATGTGCCAATTGCTAACGATTGGTCAATGAATGTGGACGATGATGCTGTTGATAATTCAAATTCTTGGCATTTTGGTGGCGGTAGCCAAACTTCCCAAGCCATGCATAATATTTGGCAACACGATGCCGCCGTAGAGAATGTAGAAAAAGAGAAGGCAAAATTCGTTGCCATTCAACCAATGAAATTATTGCGCCAAGTTGGTGGTTCTCTGAATGAAGAAGATTTGTATGTAGACAAATTGAATTGGGAGCATGAACATTTGGCTAAAATATGGCAAAGGAATGATGAAGGGGTAAATACAAATTCAGCTGAGATCCCAGAAAGCAAAATCAATGCCACTGCAGGAAATGCCAATGAGAAGGAAATAACAAATGAAGAAAATCGTCATGATGAAGACAAGGAAATTGTGGAAAAGAAAAATTTGAAAAATCTACAAAATATGAATGCCACTACTCCCTCTACTCCTCAGTCAACAGCATCCTCCACATTGTCTGCTAATAACGCAGCCGCCTACAAAAGGGTCCAGCAATTTTTAAATAGTTCTGCTGCCAAATTGAAAATAGCAGCAAATCGTAAGCGACGTCATTCTGCCTCTCAGAATTTCTACAAGAATCACAATCTTCACAGTAATAATAATAATAACAATAATAACAACAATGATAATATTACTGACTTGAATCGTTACAAATTCGATGACAAAATGTCCGCAACTAATGAAATGCCTTTGGCCACGGCAAACAACAATGAAGTCACTCCCAAACAAACCATTATCACATGCAAATATTGGACCACCAGCACAAATGGCACTCAGGCTTCTATGGATTCGGCTGCGGCAGCCATGATGCTATTGGCTGCCGCTGCAAACAAAACAACTATAATAGATGGCAGTGATGGTGTTGATATAATGACAGCTGCTGCCACCACCACAAACTCCCATTACGATGAGGAGGATACCCACGATGAAGGCATCATGTTGGACGATAATACATTTGGTAATACCTTTTCTTGTCTTATTGATAAAAATGCCTCTATCTTGAAACATGTAACCATGATGACTCGACCCCTTACACGCTAAAAAATGATAACTCCAAAATATATAAATAATAATGAAATGCCGCCACTTGAAATCATAAACTACACACTATAGAAAAAGTAATACAAATACACAAGTTTGAGAGGGAAATCTGAAATGAAATGTAAACGTTTAATAATCGATCAAAGAACAGTAATATTTAAAAAAGTTTTGAAAATATTCCCCAAAGAAAAAGAAACAATTATAAAAAAGTAAAAAAAAACAAATGTGTATATTTCCCAGATGAAATTCAGTATACAAATACCCAAAACTCCCCACAATCCTCCCTCTCACTTGTGACAATAAATAACACTAACAATTTACATCCAAGATCCTGTAAAAGAAATTTCAGAAGAAAAAAAAAGATGATTTCAAAAACAAATATAATAAAAAGATGCAATGTGTTTAGACAAAAAACAAATGAAAAACAAAAATACAAAAAAAAAAAATATATATAGAAACAAAAAGTTTACAACACTATTTCCATATTCCTTTACACGTCAGTCCTTCAAAAAAACTCCGTTTTATTTCATTTATTTTCACCTTTACTCTTAGCTCACTCCCACCCCACCCTCACACATGTATATTGAAACTATTCTGTGTATTTTTTGTTTTTGTTTAAATGTTAATAATATTTTGTAGTTTTAAAAACAAACATAGAACAAAAAGAAAAAAACAATATCAGCCCAAAAAAATTAAAGAGAAATACCATTAAATATTATTTTCAATGTATAAATAATTATGAATGCGGTTTATTTAAATTTATTTTTTTCTTTCTTCTTAATCTTAAAACATGTTTATATTTACACATACATTAATTTTTGCAAATTTTCAAAATTTGTTAAATTATTATTTTTTTAGTTTTCTTAATTCTTGTGTCCATTTTGCCTTTACTCTTTCTATACACCAAAAATACCCCACACTCTAATGAAAATGTATAAACCCTCTTAAAAAAAAATCACTTAAGTTATAAACAATTATCTAAAATTTTTTGTTTAAACTTAAAGATAAAAAACTCAAAATTTCGCTAAAACAACAAATTTATTTTGTTCATTTATTTCCTTTTTCTAAAACAACAACCAAGAAATGTAAGATTTGAGAAAAAAAGCGAAGCAAAAAAAATTATAACATCATCCTAAATAATAATAAAGGATTCATAAGAAACAATAACAACCAATATATCTTTTTAAAAGTTTAGTTATTTTTTCGTTTTCAAAAATAAATATTTAGTTTTTTCTCTTTTATTTATTACTGTGTGACAAAAGGGAATATTTTTTGAGTTGAAATATTTAATTGGTCTACAATTGTATCCAAGAGAATATTTTGCCTCTAAGTTATCTCCTTTGGTCTCAACAAAACAACATCAACAACAAACAATCTTAGAGCGAAGTTGTATTTTCTCATTGGTATTGGATTTAACGGAATATTTAAAATACCTACAATTAAATATTTGAGTCATTTGAGTCACAATTTTAATGCTGAAGTGCTATGATCCTAATATTGGCGAAACATGATGGTAAACGTCAAAGAAATTTTAATATAACGTCCAGGTGATAATGCGACAATTACGGTGCACAAACTATAAAACTTTCGTGCGTTTAGGCCGTTTGAAAAAATCACTTTTCTTCAAGCTTTGAGGAATACGATTCAATGTTAGCTTAGTTGAAAAAGGTAGTTACTTATTTTCACATATTTCAATGACTAATGAAGCTTATGTGTATTAATCTAATAATTTGAGGTTAAGTGTTAGCTATGGTGAGGCGTGGAAGTTATTTGCCATATTCCATGTGTTATGTCTAATCTAAAAGTATATATGATTAATCTAAATTAAGATATGGCCATGCAATTTCCGTGTTAGCCTTGACTTAACAAATTCCTCAAAGAAATCGAATCTTTTTACGAGAAATGTATTGCTCTTTCGCTCTATTTTGTTTGTTGTCGTGTTAATTAAGGAACGATGAATGAAAAATTTTGAATTTTATTTAAAGGAAATTGTGTTTATTCTAAAAATTATTATAATTCAAATTTTTGTTTAGGTTTCTTTCATATATTTGTTTGTTTATATTCTACGGCATTGTTCATCGTTCTTTGTTTATCTTTTTTGTTGTAATAAATCATAAATTAATAACAATTCTTATTACTGTTAATAAAGCAGAATTATATGTAAACATAATAATAACAACAAAAACTATTTAGAAATCACTTAATGATTACTATACATATATAATTTCTTAAATTAAATTAATTTAGATAAACTTTTTTTGTTTTTTACTTCTTTTTTTGTTTTTTTTTTAACTAATATATATTTTCTTTTTGTTGATTTTCATTTTCTATAATTCTATTTTTGTTTTTAGTTTTTTTGTTATATGTATATTAAATGTACATAATATAAATATTATATTTTTGGAAAATGATTTTTTTCTATTTCTTGTTTGTTTATTAATTTCTAAAATTACATTAATTTCTTGTCTTAATACAATTTTGTTTCTTTGTAAAAAAATACAACAAATCTAATGTAAATTAGTAACGGTAATAGTTTATAAACATAAAGCTAAAATATAAAACAAGCTAAATAATAACTAAAAAACTACAAAAATCATCATCATTAAGCAAAGTAAAAGAAGAAGAAAAAACTATGGAAATTTAAACCTCCATGTGTTTTTTAAATGTAAAAAATATATAAACAATATATATCTACAAATATATTATACAAACAAATTAAATTATAGTAGTAAAAGTATTTATGTAAGTAACTACTATAATTTTTACCATTTAAACAAATTTACAAAAGGAAAGGAGAACACTAAACAAGTTTATTTGGTAGTTAAAATTAAAAAAAAAGCAACAACAACAAATGTTAAGCCAATCAACAAGAAAATTGAAAAAAAAAAAACGATTTATGAAATATTTTGTGAAAATCATAAACCAAGCAAAACCAACACATAGATAAATCATTACTACAAGAAACCGCTCATACCTTTTCTTTAAAATCATACAAATTTAAAATTTCCCCATAACCTCATCCATTAAATATTTGCCCACTTCATTTGTGTCATATTTTTGTGTTGTAAATTTCAGAAAAAAAAAACTATTTTCCTTCTTCTTATTTTCTTCTATACCCACAAAATAAAAAAAAAAAACGATATTTGGCTTTTGAAAAAAACTTGTGTTGAACTTAACAAAAAATAAACAAAAAAAAGCAAAAAAAAAAATAAATAAATAACAAGTTGGCAAAACATTTTTGAACAAAATGCCCAAATGTGTTTAGCAAAGTGTATATTATAGGAAAAAAATATAAATATTTTCAAATTTTCCTAAACAACAACAACAAAATGATATATTTATACACTAATTGTACAATGCTAATTTAAACATAGAATAACAGACATTTTCAGTTTCAGCAACCAAAAATTATATAACACTTATGAACAACAAATTATAAAAAAAATTAGTAACATTTTCAGATGTAATTGAATGATCAACTAAATGATGACATTTCTCAGTATTTCAACATGTAAAGAATGAATTGATTTTGTGAATAGTTCATCGAGATCAACATACATAGCATTCTTTAAGAGAATACCTTTCCTAAGCTTGAGAATCACTTAGATTAATTTCAGTGATGTAAACAAATAGCTCATGTTTGTTACTATTCCGATCCCTTTGATTACTTCTAAATGTATATGTACAAAGTCTAAAAAGTAAAAGTGAACGTCAGTAATTTACATCTTAGAACAGTAGAACATTTTTAGTAAGTTATCCAATTTCATTTAATTACGTCTGAAAATGTGAATTGTTTCTTAAAAATATCGATATTTTTTGTTGACAAATTCCCCCCAACATAAAGGCCACCATAATTACATATTGTCATCGAAATAAAAATAAAACCCACAATTCCTAATAATCAATATAAATTAAAAAATACTTTTTAGGTTTTCTTTTAAATACCAAAAAGAAAATAAAAAATATATTTCTATTTATTATTGTGAAGGGAAATAAAAAATATAAATGAAAATAAATATCTCTGTCGATGCTATTCTTAAAATAAAGAAAAATAAATAATTAAAAAAAAACTTAATTTAAATAATTTCCCTTTTCTATTATTTTGTAAATACTTATATTTTAAAATAATTATAAAAAATATATATAAATATAACGTTTTGTTTCTTCTTTTACAACTACATTATTTACTCTATTGTATATGTGTGTCCTAATGCTGGAAACAAAAAATAATAAAAAAATCAAGAAATAAAATAAAAACAGCTCATAGTTAAAGGAAAATATTCAATACATTTACGTATAATAAATAAATAGCAAAGTTTTTTTTTTTTAATAAAATAACTAAAAATATAAAAATACCAAAACCATGAAAAACAAAAATATGAAATAAATGTCAAACAAAAACAATTTGTTTTTAATATATTTTTCTAAAGTAAAGTAAATCGCATTAAAATGTTAATTTAAAAATATATATTTGTAACAGAGATAAATTAAAAATATTTTCGCCCATTAAATAGAATTTATTAATTTTTTTGTTCTGCAATTTCTTCTAATATTTGTCATAACCTAGAAAATGTATTAAAAACAAATTGTTTACTCAATTTACAAAAACAAAATAACTATTTAGAAACATCATATAAATAAAGAAACAATGTAGTTTTTAAAAGTTCTATTATTTCTAATTAAAGAAATAAAGGCAAAAAACATAACCTAAAAGTAAAAGCAATTTCCGTTTATTTTGGTTACATGAAATTTTCATTTACATTTGTAATTATAACAGAAATGACAAGCTTCAGTTCAGTTTTTTGTTTTTGTTTAAATTAAAATACATAAAAATATCAAGGATATGAGAATTTGTTTAAAGAATATCCTTGATAAAAGAAAAAAATTAAAAAAAAAACGATAATATAAAATAAAAATAATAATGCACCCCTCTCTTTAACTCTTATAGAAAAAAGTAAAAGAAAGCAAAGCAAAACAAAACAAAAAATAAAAAAAACAATACAT